CGCCCTCAGACCTTAGGTTTGCTGCTTTTAGTCTTACCACTATTCAACCGACCTGTTTGATATGTTAGGACCTTGAGGAACGGTTGTTGCAGCCAGTATATTCATGACATTATCGTTAATTTCTTCACACTTAGATAGTCTATATGTTTTTACTGTATAGAACCAAACTAACGATAGACAATTTCACATAATTTTGTATCATGTTGTACTCTGCGTACTCAATGCATTTTTTTCCCAATCTAATCTAACTCTAACTACTTGGTCATAATTATTAGTAAGGTTAGGTATTCCACAGTCAGTTGAGCATATGAAATACATTGACTTTGACTCTCCTGATATATACTCACTGCCTTCTCTTGGAGGGGGTGTTGTTTACGAAATGAGAGGACGAAAAGCGAATATCCGGCGCTTTAACCGGATTCCAAACCAATGGTGCATATGAGCTTCAGTATCCTGAAGGAACAAATGGCGTATGAACCAATTATTGGTCTCCGGTTAACATGGGACTGCATCTCCTTACGATGCTCCACTGCGTTGTGGATCAGACCTTCAGGTCGAAGGGTCCGAGTGTGGTCCCCCTAGGAAAACCACCTGCTTCGGTTTGGGCACCCGGGCAGTATCACAGCCCTCACACATATCGAATGAGATTTGTGTGGCGCAAATGTATTTGGTGCCTCCTTGTACCAATATCTGTGTTAAAATAAATAAATAATAAATATATTGATGACGCTGAACAATCTATATACAGCAGAGTATACTAAAAATAAAACTGAGGTCCACATATAAAATCGAATAGTTCAAAGTGTATCTCGAAATGATGAATAAAGTTAACCTCGTCAATTTTTTTTTTGGTGACATCCATTTTAACCAACCATACTTTTTTTTATTTGTTTATATATTCAAATCCTTTTCCATCTGAACGCTTTCTTGTACATGAAACAAAATACTCACTTTATGTCTAAATTGTATCGTTTTTTTCATTCTGTTTTGTTGTTATGTCATTTATGTATGATACAATCTTACATATTTATATAGATTATGTATATTTATTCACTGAAATTCTGATACACCGTTTTTCTCCACTCTCTCTCTCTCTCTCTCACCCCCTTACCCTTTCATTTCTATGGTGGTTAGTTACATTTCTGTGTTGATAGTTCAACGAATTACACTTTTAAATGCTTCGTTTCATCTGTTTGTCCATTTATGTGTGTATTTGTGTGTGTGTGTGATATTTACATGAACATGTTTGCATATTCATTTATAAAGACTACTTTTAATTATGTAAATAGTGTGCATTATTTTAATGAAATTTATGATATAACTTATTTGTTTATGCATAGTTATTTATCTTAGTTTCTCTAAATAATTTGACTTATTCATGTAAACCCGTAAACACTTATGTTTGTACCTTTAGTGTTGTGTGTATATGCATAATTGAGAATAAGAGAGAGAGAGAGAGAGAACAGTGACTACTCAGATCCTTTTCTATACAATCATGAACTATAATTGATTATATTCACAATACTTTTTTTCTATCGATATTGTATAAATTGACCTGTAGAGCTGTGATTAAGTAGTAACTTGTAATTATCTAAATTTGTAGCACATTTAATCGATTATTGTTCATTGTAGTTTTTCTACAAATCCCCTGGTACGGCTGAGTGTACGGAGAGTCCAGTTTCCCTCTCTAAATGCTCTCGATTGGCCACGTGCATACAACAAATGTCACTGCCTTCTTGCGGCATTACTGTTGTTTACAAAATTGAGAGGACGTAAAGCGAATGCCCGGCGCTTTATCCGGGTTGATGAATATGGAGGATCCACCTATGGTAGTCGGAAAATCCTGATTTCGAACCAGTGGTGCACATGGGCTTCAGTATCCTGAAGGAACAAATGGTGTATGAACCTATTGTTGGTCACCGGCTACCATGGGATTTCATCTCCTAACGTTGCTCCACTGTTTTGTGGATCAGATCTTTAGGTCAAAGGCTCGGGGTGTGGCCCCGCCTGCTTCAGTTTGGGCACCCGGGCAGTATGACAGCCCACACACAAATCAAGTGTCTTGTGTGGAGCATATATATTTGGTACCTCCTTGTACAAATGCTTATATGTTTCAATAAATATGTAGTTTTTCTACAACGGTTGTTTAATATAATCGTATATTAGGAGTTTTGTCTAGATAATTTGTGATTGAATATCCACGAAATAAATAACCATAACGTTAATGATGATCAAAGTGATACAGTGATTCATTCATATTGATTGTTTAAGTCTTCTCATTGATATTTAGGACTACAAATAATCTCTGTTTTTGTCACATATCCATCTTGTAAGGATTGCCTTGATGTTGCTATTAAGTCACAAGCATTATAAGTAGAAATAGATGGTGGATAGAAGTGAATAACGCGGTAGCATTTAAAGTGAACGATACTGGGTTCGAATTTCGAAGTGAACATCAAATCTAGGATGGACGTACATTCAGTTGATGAGTTCTAATTGAAATGAAACAGGCATTAAGGATTCCATTGCTAGCTACAATTCAATTGAATTTCTTAAATTGTTTTTCTTTCTTTTTTCTTTACATTAGATATGAGCACAATATTTCAATACTTAAATAATCAAAAGGGGTTTTTGTGGACATTATATTAATTTCAATAGTTGAGATCATGAGTCAGTTATTTAATAGTAATTAATAGTAATTTTAATGATTGAATTCATGAGTCAATTGAAGCTATACCACCATGAGAAACCTGGAAGCACTGGACGAACGTTTGATCCTGTTGTGGAACTCCTCAGCAATGAGCATCCACGATCCCACCTCGTGGGATTTGAACTCAGAACCTATCGATCTCGCGTGCGGACGCTTAACCACTAAACCACTGAGCCGTCATCCAACGGTGTTAATGTCTAAATTCAACTAATCCACGAAATTGAGCGACACATCGAACAATGTCTTCAGTGAGTTACTATCTCACAACAAACCTGGTTGAACTCCAGTGGTCCCTGCTTCTCACTAAAACTTCAGGATATACCTTATGAAGTCAGTCACTAGTGAGCATAGGTCCTGGGTTTGAATCTCACGAAGCGGGGTAGTGGATGCACACTGCTAAGGAGTCCTACAACATGACGAAACGGCTGTCCAGTGCTTCCATGGTGATTTAGCTTTAATTGACTCATAATCTCAACTATTGAAACCTAAATAATCATTAATATATTATGGGCAGCTAGAAGTTAAAATGTTTGCACGTATTCTGCATATTTTATTCATGTTAATTTATAAATTATCAAATACCATAGTTTTGATCAAATAAAAAAAAACTAGGTCAAATTAAATCGGGCATCGACACAATCAATTTTATTGTTATCACAGTTACTTATTATTATTATTATTATTATTATTATTATTATTATTATTATTATTATCAAAATAATATAACGTATTTTTCACTTCAATTCGTTCCTAATCAAGTAGGTCAGTGTTAGTAATTATCCTTGGTGGAAGTGTTTTAATGAGATATATATATATACATATATATTATTACGTAATGAGTACACAAAAACGCGACAACTTAGTTTCATCTTGTTCTTTCGCATTCCTGAATAATTTAAAGTAGGTATACGCATATTAAACAACTTCATTCTGTTTAGTTAAGTTGTTTGAGATGGTGGAGAAGATTTGTAGCTCAGGTGGATGATTTTGATGGAGTTTTGTTCTCTGAGCTGGATGGTTTGGTCGTGGAGTTTTCATCGTTCTTCTCATTTGTCTAATAGTTAAGCGCTTGCACGCGAGACTGGTAGGTTCTGGGTTCGAATCACGCGGGGGGCGGGTCGTGGATGCGCACTGCTGAGATGTTTCATACTAGGACGAAACGTCTGTCCAGTGCTTTAAGTTGTTTGGGAACAATTTTTTTTGGTTTAAAACTGATTGTTTTTTAACTCATTGAATTGTTATCATCTGTCTTTTGATTCACATTTATGTCTCTTCAGTATTGAGTTTCATTTTTTTCTTTCTTCTTATTTTGATTATCTTATATGATCCTCTACTTATTGCTAGTCTCTATGATGGGAACTACATATTGTTTCTTCAGATTTATGAACGAATCTGTAGTGTCGGTTGACATGTTAAGCCCATATATCTTATTCTAGCTTTCGGATAGGCCAATATATTCATTCTACTTGAGTCACATTCTCACTCTGTTAATTATTCGCTTATCAATCTTGACTGTTTTATATGTGCGCGTAGGTGTGTGTACATTTCTTATCCTATTCATCACATATCTGTAACTTATTTGTGTGTGACTGTAAATATTGATTAACTCTTGGTTAAATGGCAGTTGGGTTGGCTCACCCGCCATCTCCACTGCGGGTCGTTTTGTTTCGTTCTATTCCATTCACTTCATATACAAAATTTATGTATTCAAAAGTCCATTCTCGTTATTTGACTTATTTAATTCCGTTATTGACTAATGCGATTTAAGTCGATAATTATAAACGAGGATAGGCGACATACGTATATTTCAATCACAATCATTCATACGATCTACTTGGAGTCAGAACTTGGGTTACTAAAAATCAATTAGACTTAACATGGTAGGTTTTGAATTTCGATGTGGAATGTATTCACTCATTTGGTTAAATACCAGTTTGGCATTATAATTGATATCAGTTTGTGATAAAAAATATTGAATCTATATCCTAAAACTAATTTGTAACCCTTGTTTAAGTCTAGTAAGTAGGCGGACATTCCAAGGTCATTTTAACGTTACTCAAAGATTGTCCATAAATTGTAATCTTATTGATTTATTTGTTGCTGTTCAATGCTTCGACCTTAATTCACATTTTACATGGATTAATCTATGTATTTTCTTTGAAGTTTCTCAACATCTTACTGAATTGATAGGATTCAACTTAGTTTTCAATATTAACTTCAATATCTTGGACCACAATGTAGTAATGTAACATTCTACAATTTTATGAGTTAAAACAATGAGGTGTTGAAACATTTTGTACAAAAATCAATATGTTTGTACAGTTCACATTACTTAGTTACTTACGCCTGTTGCCCCCCGAAGGAGCATGAATCGCCGACCAGCATTCTCCAATCCACTCTGCCCTGGGCCTTCCTTTCCAGTTCGGTCCAATTTTTGTGCATTCTTCCCATGTCTGTCTCCATTTCTCGATGTAATGTGTTCTTTGGTCTTCCTCTTTCCTTTGACCATGAGGATTCCATGTGAGGGCTTGTCTTGTGACGCATTTGAGTGCTTTCCTCAATGTGTATCCTATCCACTTCCAGCACTTCTTCCTGATTTCTTCCTCCGCTGGGATCTGGTTTATTCTCTCCCATGGTAGATTCTTGTTCATAGTGTCTGACCAACGGATCCGAAGTACTTTACGTAGACAGTTGTTAATAAACACTTGTATCTTCTGGATGATGGCTTTCATAGTTCTGGAAATTTCTGCCCCATACAATAGAACTGTCTTGACATTTGTATTGAAAATTCTGACCTTGGTGTTGGTTGATAGACAGTTGTTTTGAGTTCCAGATTTTCTTCAGTTGTAAATATACTGCTCTTACTTAGCCGATCCGCGCCTTCAAATCTTGCATCAGATCGACCGTGTTCATCAATGATGCCGCCCAGATATATGAAGGTTTTTATATCTTCCATATCTTATCCGTCAAGTGTGATTTGACTGTTGCATGTTGTGTTGTGTTGTGTCGGAAAATCTTGCTTTTCCCTTTGTATATGTTGAGACCAAAGTTCACATTGAACTTTCTGAATTGATTCTTCACTATAGTTTGGTTATCTCATGTATATAGTAACTGTGCATGAATATTATCATTTTAAAAAAAAATCTGGTTTGACTCCAATATACTGTGTCATTAAGTGATCTATTGAAATATTTGTGTAGTTCTACTCTTAACATTAACTTTGAAAATTTTCCCATATAATTTTATATCTAAGGCTTTATTATGACCTCTGCTATCTCACATTTTTATAAAGATATGTAATATACATTTAATTGTTATATTACATCTGTCTGTAGATAATAGAGATCTATATTTATTATTTATGAACAGAAGATATGTTTTATATATTCCATATTTGTTGTTAGTTATAGAGTCGATTCGTAAACTGTTCGATGGTTATGATGTCTGAAATAAATTCACATCTTGAAGTGTACATATTTAACTTTTGTTATTTGTTTAAATTTGAAATGTATAGAAGTTTATAAGCAAAGATGGATAGTGGTTAGCAGTGGAATCTAGTTTGACGCGCAATTCGTCCTATTTTGGACTCGTCAGCTGATGAATGTACCTGCATCTCAGAGTTAGTGTTCACTCTGGCCCTCGAACTTAGTACCATTCGCTTCAAACGCTATCGCGTTATTCACTTAGCTACTGAGTACTGATTCCACCGGACTCCACTGCTAGCCATTATCCATCTTTGCTTATAATGCTTGTGAATTAAGGTAATATCGAGGCAATACGCATAGTATGCATATATGCCAATAAGAGACTGATCATTTGCAGTCCTAATCATCAATGGAAAAATTCAAGTAAACAATATCAAGTGGATTTGTATAAACGTTTATTGAAATTTAAAGAAACTGTCAGTGCTTTACATATGATGTGTGTTGGAATTTCAAGAAAATCACGAAAAAAACTATTTTCAAATGTACAATTTCTCAGTTAGGCAAAACAGATGTCTTCAATGTAAAAAAAAGATAACAGTTACACCAGAACATTATTACATCAAGTGAAAAAGTGTGAAAGTTTTGCAAGAGCTTTACCTAACTAACGAACAACATATTCAAATGATTAAAATCTTATTATGTAATTACATAGAAGAGTAAAAAATATCACGAATCCAACAAATAAAGCAAGTGTATGTCAGTACGCTGACTTGGAATTTGTGTCTTTTGTATGTAACTACTTATAATTTTAATTTAGTAGTATATTTTATATTGAAGCATTTAATTCGAACCTCAATATACATTGTGGAATAAATCCGAATTTTGTCATTCGTTATTATGTATATTATTTCAACATATCATTGAGATTATATGATTTTCATTTTAAAATGTCTTTTCATCTCTTTTTTTCTCTATCTCTCTTAACATACCAATATCCCAATGAAAAATCATCAATTTCATTTTGGCTATTATTATGTGTTTATGATAGAATGTGAGTTGATATTTGTGTTCTATTTCTTTTCCCTCGATTATTTATCAAATTTTTAGTGAATATTTCTTTATATTGTACGTTAAAGTGAGGTATATAATAATCTGTTTAATAAATTAACTTTGGTGTTTTTGATGGAATTTTGTGCTCTGAGCTGGATGGTTACAATTGGCTGCACTGTCCATATTAATTCATGCGAATGGTTCACGTATTCTTACACACTCATGCATAACTTTTCATTCGTGATCACTGTTTGAAGATAAAATTCATCACGGATTATCATCGATTGTGGAAGGAACCATAGAGCTGTAAGACTTGGCCTTTAATAGTATAGGAAATTCATGGATCATTAGGATTTGTTTATTGTTATCTTTGCAGCATTGCTCACATATGTTAGCACCATCTAATGATCAATGTTGAGAGTGTGAATGCATGGTACTATGCAAAAATAGTAATTGGGTTGATGAGTTAGTGGATTTTCATCAACTGAGGCGTGTCAGACATGCATTATGTATCCCTAACAACCGCCTACCTTAACCCAGAACCTTCTGTAACTTAGGAGTAGATGAAAAGAATGCCAATTTGAAACAAACAAAAATATGGCATCAATCCCTGAAGTCATCGACTATTGGATTGAAAAGTTTTAGTAGATTATCGTAGCTAATTGTTGTAGATGTTAAGTAGTAGTGCTTGGAATCGCTCAAAAGTACATAGATTCATACAACCTTTCTGTACTACTAGGTCTTAGGCTTTAAAGTTGTCTCTATAAAACGCTTCAATAGGCAGTAGGTAGGTATTTTTATTTCGAGAGTTTCCAAAGTATTTATAGAAATACATAAACATAGCCTTCCATCAATGTGTTCTGCAATCTGAACTGTTTTCTCTACTGGCCTCCAAGTGTTCAATCAACGCCATCCTTTTGATGTTCTGAAACTTTTCCCTTTGTCCGACAATTGTTGCGACTTTGACGCCACTTTCCGGCTCACACTACTTACAAATATCCTTGTGAGTAGCATCCATTACATTTTTGCTACTTCTACATCCAGGCTTCATGAGTAGTTAATTGATGATGCAGACCAGTTCAAAAGCGAAATTTTTCATTTTGTGTAGAAGAAACACATCTCAAAAATGCTTACATTGTAGTTCAAGACTATATTTTTTTCGAATTCAACCATTAACATCATTGAAAAAAAGAGTCCATTTAAAAATACCAAAACATTTGCGTCTCAACCTATATTACAGTGCAGAAACTTTGATCATTCACAAGTCAAAACTTGATTTGTTAATACAGAAACAACTTTGTTTTAGATCACTGTGTTTACCATGATCTTAGTAGTTTTCTTTTGCTTATTTAATTGTTCGCTTTCTTTTTCATTATCATTCCAGTGTTTATAAAATCGTCCTAATTTTATTATCAGACTAGAGTTGTGGAGATTATTTTGTTATTGATTGAGACCATGAACCGGTTGATGTTAGACCATCATTGAAAACCTGGAAGCACTGGACGACCGTTTCGTCTTCCTGTTGGACTCCTCAACACTGCGCATCCACGAACCCGCTCGCGGGGTTCGAACCAGTGGAGTTATTCCATATCAGGTAGAAATAAGTATCTATCCCAGACAATCGAAGATGGTCGTGTAATTTCGTGGATTGATTGAGGTTAGACATTAACGCCATTGGATGTCGGTTCATTGGTTTAGAGGTTAAGCATTCGCGCGCAAATCCGAAGGCCCTGGGTTCGAATCCTGTTAGTGGGATCATGGATGCTCATTGTTGAGGAATCCTACAGTAGGACGAAACGACCGTCCAGTGCTTCCAGGTTGTCAATGCTGGCCGAACATCAAGCGGTTCATGATTTCAATCTAGTTTATTCTTGTTGCTATTTACTCAAATTTCTTGATTACCGCTCATCTCAACCTTCATTTCCAGTTGATAATACACATTGTTTCATTGATCTCCTTTTATACTTATTTTTTTATTTATTTAAAATGATTTGTAGCTTAAGTGGATGATTTAGGTGAGCTTTTTTCTCTAAGCTAGAATGGTTTAAAGGTAGACAATGATAGATTAAATCTTACCAACAACTAATCATTATCGAAGTCCACAGGAAGAAAAACTGTGAGTATTAGTTATATGTGAAGAAATTCAAACATTTCACTTCTATCTTAAATTTATATTGATGTTGTTGTTCAGAAGAATAATGAAAGATTCATGACTACAAACCATTCAGTTCAGAGAACAGAACTTCATCTATCCAATTATTTTTACTATACGGATTTATGGAGATTGTTAAGATTCCAAATAGTTTAGATTACAAATTCTACTTAACCTTATCATTAATAAAAATTTCCCATCTCTGTGACCTTCTTTCTTATATTTTATTTATCTGGAACTCTGTTGGGATTTGTCATTCCCACTTAGTGATACGTATATATATATCACTTTCATTCAACTTCATTTGTATAAGTCTATTTAACTTCTAAGTTGCGAGTTGTAGCTGTCGTCAATGTCATGAAATGCAATATATTATCATGTTACTCTTCTCAAATTTTTTCTTCCTCTCTATTTTTCTCTCTCTTGAAGAATAATGTCATTTTTAATACATAATCATGCAATTGATAAGTTCATTTGTACTATGCAATAATATAAATAACTGCTCATTTTCTCTCCCTAATAATAATCATAATCAGAAACGGGGTTTTGTTGAGATTTTAGCAATTCAATAGTTTAATTCATGAGTCAATTAAAACTAGACCACTATGGAGAACCTGGAAGCACTGGACGGTCGTTTCGTTCTATTGTTGAACTCCTCAGCAGTGCGCATCCATGATCCCGCCTCACGAGATTCAAACCCAGGATATATCAGTCTCGCGCGTGACCGCTTAACCTCTAGACGACTGAGCCAATCGGCATCCAATGGTGTTAATGTCTAACTTCAACCAATCAACGAAATTGCGCCACCATCCACCATTGTCTTTAGTGAGTTACTATTTCACAACAGACCTGGTTGAATTCCATTGGTCACTGCTTCTCACAAAAACTTCAGGAAATACATCTTAGAGACCGTCACCAATGAGTCCGCTCAGTGGTTAATCGCTCACTCACGATACTGATAGGTCCTGTGTTCGAATCTTCGTGAGGCGTTATCGTGGATGTGCACTACTAAGAAGTCTTATGCTAGGACGAAACGGCCATCTAGTGCTTTCAGGTTTTCATAATGGTTAGAAACTCATTACGGTTATTTTAAACACGTTCCTATAGATACTACTACTGATGATGTAGGTGGAATGAGATTTAAATATGTGAATGATATTCAAAGATTTTTATTATCATCTTAATCATTAAGTCACATTTAATTGTCCTGTCATTTTTCATGCTAAATTTTCACTTCTGAAATGTTGTTGGGGAATATTTTTAATACTGAATTCATTGTATTCTCGTACATGTTTCTAATAGGTGATGTTACACATGAATTTTATTACTATTTATCGATTTGCCTGTATTTCTTTTTTCAATAGGGACGTACACCCTTACATATTGCTGTTGTTCATTCACAACGTGTTGTTATTCGTGCATTAGTTGATGATTTCAGTAAGTAGAATTTTTCGTTTCTCTCTCAAATTCAACAAGATAAATAAATTAATAGGCGAGACTCTAATTTAGGGACGAGCCAATCAGAAGCGTCTGAGCAATTTCAAGGTCACGGAGCCAAGTTCAACACGCGATGCTAACATACGGTCGGTTCACAGCGGATTTTAGTGAGGAGGTGATTAATGAGAGGTTAAAACAGATGGGACGGCGAAACTCTAATTTAGGGACGAGCCAATGAGGAGCGTTTGAGCAATTTCAATTATTAGCCAATCAGAAGACAGTATAAAGTAAAAATATATTACAAGAAAATAATGAATTACAGTGGATATTCTTCTTTTACATGATTTAAAAACTTGTTGAGGTTTGATAAAGGCTCAAAAGTTCTGAATTCATAATGCATTTAGTATAGAAACTCGTCCATAGGGTTAGGGTTTGGGGTTAAAATTAGGGTTAAGGTTAGGGTTTAGGGTTAGATTAGGGTTTAGGGCTAGATTAGGGTTTAGGGCTAAGGTTAGGGTTTTGGGTTAGATTAGGGTTTGGGGTTAGGTTAAGGTTAGATTAGGGTTTAGGGCTAAGGTTACGGTTTGGGGTTAGATTAGGGTTAGGGTTAGATTAGGGTTTAGGGTTAGGTTAGGATTAGGGTGCTAACATGCGATCGGTTTACATCGGATGTTAGAGAAGAGGTGTCTATTGACAGGCTACAACCCTAACCACTAATCCTATGGACGGGTTTCTATACCATATTCACTATTAATTCAGAGCCTCTGAACCTTAATCAAACCTTAACAAGTTTTTAGATCATGTAAAAGGAGAATATCCACTGTAATTCATTACTTTCATATAGTATATTTTCACTTTATACTTTCTTCTGATTGGCTAATAATTGTCAAGGTCACTTAAGATTCGTTCAAAGGTCGTCCTTGAATTAGAGTCTCGCCAATTAATATTTACGGAAATACTTACAGAATGCATGTGATTTTATTACCTACTTACTTATGCCTGTTACCCCTAGTGGAGAATAACCTTCCAACCAGAAATCTCTAAACTCCTCTGTCCTGGCTCTCCTGATCTGATCTTTATCGTCTTCATTGCCATCATTAGTAGATGACATTCATTGTGATCCTCTTCTTCTTTGTTCTGAAGGATACTTTGATAATTGTGGATCATGATATTTCCATTATATAGATGCTTTACGTGCTTCTTTGGACAGCATCAGAGCAAATTCCTGTTTGTATGAAGCATTTCCTTCTTCATGATCAGAGTACGACACCATTTTTCCTGAATCTAACCGTTTCTGTCCAGCTTTGGTCTAATGAGTTTCACTTATTTCGTGCACTGACTAATTGTATCTCCTCATTTTCGTAGCTATTTGACTGGTCCCCCAGTCTCACACATTGTACGGAAATTCCGCTTACCTATTTTAATTATTACTCTGGTTGTTAGATGGGGGGCTGGTCTTTGATCTTCAGAAAATGTCGACTTTTAGCTTGAGGATTCATAACTCTTCTAAATGAAGAACTTTCAACTCCGACGAGAGAGTTTAAATGCTTTAAATGGTTTTGTCTGGTTAGCGTTTCTTTTCGTCATAGTTCTGTTCTATGGCATGTGTTTTATGATTCCGCGCCCAACTCTCCTTCCTTATCCGTGCTTAGGAAGGGCATTAACACGAGAAGGGCTCTAGGTGGAGTTATATGCCATTCACAGCCGTGATTAAGCTGACATAAGAAAGAATGATAAGTTTAAGGAAAAACATGATGATATTATTTGAGAATGTACAAGTCATTATTCATTTCTATAGGACATTCACCATAAAGGTTTTTATGGTATAAAACAACATTTGGAAACCAGTATTTTCTTTGTAGTAGTAGGAGAAGGAGGAGGAGAACTAGGTCTTCATTTCTGATGGTGAATTTTTATAACAAAGGCCAGTTTTAGTGCCGTCAGTAAAACACATATACAACCTGGGAGAAGAAAAAAACGGAAACACGGATCAATAAAAATGATTGTGATGATAGGCCTGTTGTCTTCAATGTGTTCGGTGGTTTCATAACTTATTAATTTAGACAGATTTTTCTTAAACTAATCAACTATTCGATAAACATCTTTACGATACAATTCGTATCAAATTTAAGATTATCCATGTGCATACGACCACTGCCAGGGAAGTCCTACTCACTGCCTTCTCATGGCATTACTGTTGTTTACGGAATTGAGAGAACGAAAAGCGAATGTACTGCGCTTTAACCGGGTTGGCGGACATGGAGAGTCCACCTAGGGGAGTTGGAAAACCCTGATTCCAAACCAATGGTGCACATGGGCTCCAGTATCCTGCGGGATCAAATGGCGTATGAACCAATCGTTGGTCATGGTTACCATGGAACAGCATCTCCTTACGTTGCTCCACTGTTTTGTGGATCAGACCTTCATGTCGAGGGCTCGGGGTGTGGCCCCCTAATAAATCCACCTGCTTCGGTTTGGGCACCCGAGCAGTATCACAGCCCTCACACATATCAGATGAGTTTTGTGTGGCGCATATGTATTTGGTGCCTCCTTGTACCAATATCCATGTGTTAAAATAAATAATAAATAAATTTCAGATAAACTAACAGATTTATTGAGTAGTACCGAACTACTCTTAAGTGTTAATAACTCTTCATTCATAGTTTCAAGCCTATACGTTTTTTTTTTAACTTGATTAACAAAACAATTGTGCAATTTCAGTGAAATCCTTTGATGTTTCTTCAAACATCCTAATTTGTCGCAATATTTAACTTATCTAAATAGTTCATTATTAGGATCAATATTCAATAGAATCTTATTTATTTATTTATTTGAACACATAAATATTGGTACAAAGGAGCACTGAATACACAAGCGCTACACAAGTCATCTGATTTGTGTGTGTGTTTGGGCTGTGACACTGCCCAGGTGCCTAGATTGTAGCAGTTAGTTTTCTTAAGGGGCCACACTCGGCTCCTTCGACATAAAAATCTAATCCACAACGCAGTGGAACAACGTAAGAAGATGCAGTCCCATGGTAGTCGATGACGAACAATCGATTCATGCACCATTTGTACCTTCAGGATCGTGGAATCCATGTTCACCATTGGCATGAAATCAAGATTTTCTGATTCCTCTAGGTGGATCTTCCATATTCACTAATGGAATCTAGAGAGAAACTATTATATTTGATCAGATATGTTTAATAAATTTATGAGACTATTGCTTGCAAAGAAGTAGTTACTTCAATCTGAACAGGTAGTCCTCAATCTACATTTTTGTTTTCCCCTATATTGACTAACTTTTAACAAGAGAAGTTTGTTAGAAAACTACATCTAATTGTAATCAGTTGTTATCAATTAATGACAGATTTCAAATATTGTACTGTGTAAATGTATGCAATCGTTCTTTTCTTTTAGAAGCTGATCCAACTTTGATGGATTTCTCTGGTTACTTTCCATATATGCTACTTGAAAATAATTTAAAAACTGAATATGAACGTATGTCTATTTGTTACTTATGCGTAAATAATAATTACGAAAATAGTTATGATTATTACTTTGAATCACTTATTTACATAAGCATGTTGCCTTTCGTGGAGGAGCATAGGCCACTCACCAGTATTTTCCACTCAACTCTGTCCTGGACGATCCTTTCCAGTTTCTGTTGATCGTTTTCATGTCTGCTTCCGATTCCCGATGAAGTGTGTTCTTCGCCCTTCGTCTTTTCCCTTTCCTTTCAGAATTCCAAGTTAGTGCTTGCCTCGTGATGCAGTTTGGTGATTTCTGTAATGTATGTCCTATACATTTCCATAGTCTTTTTGCTAATTTCCTCCTTAGCTGGAAGTTGGTTTGTTCCTTTCCACAGTAAGCTGTTGCTGATGCCATCCGCTCAACGGACATAAAGCATCTTATATAGACATTTGTTTATAAATACTTGTACATTTTTCATGATGGTTATAATAGTTCTCGAAGTTTCAGCTCCGTACAGTAGAACTGTGTCGATGTTCTTATTGGGGATTCTGACTCTGATTTTGGTTGACAATTGTTTTGGGTTGCATATGTTCTTCAACTGTAGGAATACTGTCCTTGCTTTGCCAATCCTTTCCTTCACGTCTATTACAAACCTATTTATCTAATACTAAGTAATGTACTGTTTTAAATAAAACTATCTTTGTTGACAGTTAGTGAATCAGTTTGTAAGTAAATCAGTTTGATTTCTTAAACCATTGTGAATTTTTAGAAGAATACTAACTTATGACTTTCTCATTGAATGTTGATTGTTTCAAGCATTTAACATTACACATTCAAAATGTCCTCTCAATCAGTCTGGATAAAAAAATTTAGATACTAGTTAGATACTGACATGCTAAACAATCTACGGTGCATACCTCTTGAGTGCTGTTAGAGGTATGAAGGCGATTATCACTTCCCGGTTGCCCAAACACAGAAGGGTTCTTCTGAAGTTACCTGAAAAGAAAATTGGATTAGAGGTGGTCTTAGTGACCTAAGAGCTTGACCTCAGTGACCAAGGTACAACTGGTTGAGGTGGGTCACACACGACCTTTTTGTGAGTAATTTTTGTGTTAGCTCCATACTTGTTGATACCTTACCGCTGCAGACGGATATCCGTGTGATAAGGTGAGGTATGGATTTTTAAGGTGGACTTATTCTAACCTCACCCCTCGTTGTTGGGAAGGCAGCATCGATGTTATTGTACTTGTCTGAATGAAACCCCTGGTTGCTGTCACACCTCTTTACAGTCAGAAATACGACTTCGCCCTCAGATCTTAGGTTTGCTGCTTTTAGTCTTACCGCTCTTCAACTGACCTGTTTGACATGGTAGGATCTTGAGGAACGGTTGTTGCAGCCAGTATAGCTCGATCGGTTCATCATGATAGGCAAGTCCGATTACCACATCGATGTAGCAACAATGGTCGAGTCTAAACAATCTTCTTGATTATATAATCCGATTTTTCTATTTGATCGGTAAAATTTCAAATGCTAAACTTTCACCGTAATTAATTACATTAATAGTGAACATTAGTGGTGTTGATGTATATTGAGTACATTTAGTAGGCTAGTTATTTAACATCTGATTTAATTATTAAGGTGAAACGAATCAGATCAAAACATGGTATCGCTCCCTGTATTTCTTCATTTAATGGTCTTATTACTTGTAATTATCATCGTTGTTGAATAGTTTAATTGATTTGGCTTGCAATTAATCGTATTTCTAAACATACAATGTTTTCATTGTTACAATGGATTGAGTATTGAAGAAGTTAGAAGTTTTGGAACTATTTTTTAAATCATTATTTGTTTGTAAATATATGGTTGTGGAGATTGTTGAGTTTCATTGAAATCTCAAACTGATCAATGTTGAACCATCAATGAGAACCTGGAATCACTGGTTGGCCACTTCGTCCCAGTACGGGACTCTTCAACAGTGAATAGATTGGTCTGTCCAGGTGCTAGAATAACGTATGCCGGCTTTATATAGTACCAGCCCCTATAACACAAATAAATATATCAACATAGGTAGTAGATTAACAATTGTGAAAATAAGATAAAAGTCGTCGAACATTACGTAATAAGAAGTAAATGATTAATACGTTGAAATGTGTAAGTTATAAGGAAGAGATGAGAAATTAATGAAAACCATGACAAAATACGTGAACAATCGATTATTTAGTGTGTTAAGTCTTATCGGATGAAGGCAAAGACATAGGTGTTGCTAACTATTTTCGAATGTTGTTAAAAAAGTGAACATTATAAGGTTGGTCACTGGAACCAGTTAAGCAACGGTGACTAAATCTGAGTTATCTTGACTCGTTCCAGATCACACAGAAAGGTGCCCATTCACTCATTTAACCGATTAAAATTGGGCATTTGCCGGCACTATCAATGGTATGCATGTTCCTATTCACTAATCATAGAAACATTTTGATATATAAAGAATTTCCCAACTAATATTATGTAGTAAGTTTTAGTAAATTTGCTATGAGTCTTGTAGTGAAGTTTGGGATACGCATTTCACCCTATTTAGGACTCGTTCGTCTGTGATGTACTAACATTCTAGTCTCTTGGACTTGAACCCAGTACCTTTTATTCACTGAGCTAATAAATCTCGTTAACTTATCAACCAGTCAAGTAGATATGCATGTAAACATTGATAAATTACATAATTACACTAATAATTCATTGTCCATTTTTTCTGGGTCATTCATCACAACAATAAGTGACATTTATACTGTCACTTAATCAAATTCAATAAAGATATGTATGTATACCATTGTCGAGTACATGTTGGTCCTCTATTAATTAACTTATTATTATTATTAGTAGTAGTAGTGGTAGTAGTAGTAGTGTAGTGAAGGAGAATACAGGTGAGGACAACGGAATCATATTTAGCACAACATGACAGAGTTACTTGATAAAATAGAAAAACCATACTATAATAATTGCCTCGACCTTCATTGTTCTTGCATTTCTATACTAATTGCTTTCTATTCCCGCTCTTCATTTCTTGATCTTCCCCATCTTCTGCCACCAGATATTACATTCCTGACTCACGTTATATACTACTTATATCAATATAGGTAGCACGCACCACATTAGTAGTATCAGTAGTATCAATCATATTAGTAGTATGCTTAATTTTAATTAAATTATTATTTACCCCCACCCCCACATTCATTTCTATCTAATTCATTCATTCATTTCTAATTATCTATTGTTCAACTGAGTTCTTCCATCAGCTCATTCATGACACGCACACACACACATATGCACATGCACATTCATACTGATACATGTCAGTATCCGTGTCAACACAAATAATTAAAATGGGATAATTTTTTTAAAATTAATTCTCCGTTAGATACCTTTTCTCTTAAAATATCTGTGAAGTATTGAGTTGGAAGAAACATTATTAATTATTGAAACCAGGTTATGTGAATTACTGTTATGTAGACTCAGAGCTGATGGCTTTATATGCATAGGTAGGTATATATGTATGTATATACATACCCTGGTTGTGTCAATCTGTGTATCTATGGATAGATTGTCGATATGATTATTCCATTCCATATAATCAATCATTCTGAATGTTATTGTTGTTGTTGTGTCGTCATCGTCATTTTATTGACGTGATTTTTAACTTATCTACTTATATTCACCAGATCATGAATGTGGATCGTTTCAACGTGTTGGTGTGTGCGTGTGTGTGTGTGCACGTAATTTGTTGTTCCACTGAAATTTGTTTACACTTTGTTTAACTAGAAAATTTAATGGGAAATTTTGTTTGTTTTTTTATATTCAGCAACGTGTATATTCAATGATCCCATTTACTTGAATCTATGATTATTTCTCTGAAAAAAGCAGATCAATACTACTTACTTACTAATCTAGTAATCTGTATCTATAACAACATTGCTCAAATCAATAATCAATAACTTAATAGACTAATGTTATATTTTAGTTTGTTCCTCTTTAGTTTTCTTTCAATCTATTCCTACATCAGAGAATATTGCCTGTCGACTAAGATATTGTGTTATGTATAGGTAGGTAGAAAAAACTATCCCAACGACATCATTCAGGTGAAGATCCCAAAAATGCAACAGTCGATTTGTTCATTTACCCAGTATTCTCCGTCTAACCTCAGTACTACTTACTCATTCGTTCTAACATATATGAACAGAACTTCTAACGCATTTATGATTAAATAACAATCACTTACATATATGCTGTGTTTACTAAAAGCCTCGTTTCACAACCATTAACGGAAGAAGAATTATGAATTACTGTGCATCATACTTGTTCTTTGGTCTGCTAACGAATGTCATCGATACTTTTCGAGAGTTATCTTTCTACTCTCCATAGATCACCGATTATTCCACATTTCTTTCAATATAATCAATACAAGTAGCATAGATCAGTGATGACATCTCAAACGTTGATTACAATCTTGTCAATTAAACCAAAATCGACAGTTACTTACTGCTCATAAGCTAAGCTCAATACTGCACCACAAATACGATCGATCATATTAGAGTTAAATATGCACATAAATACTATCAGGGTTAAGTGAGTAGAACATTGCAATTCCAACTAATTGTTCTCAATTTCAAGGCCAATCACACCTACTTCAATTAGAATAATCGATCGGTATCATTAACCGAATGCCAAGTACTCGAATATGTATAATCGGTTAATGAGTCGTCGTCGTAGTAGTAGTTGTATTATATCAGAATAAATCAATCATTCTCAATTGTTCTCTATTCACCAATGCATAATGTGAATGGTTTTGATGGATTGGTGAGAAATGTCCCATCATCATGCGTCGTTTCTAAGCAATCGGTTTTAAACTGTTTCGTTATAATGTTAAGACCTTCATCTTTATGTGTCCGTCATCGCAGTCATCGTTATCACTATTTCTTTATTGATTATGAGAATGCAATTTATTGGGAAGTGAGCAGTGCTTGCAATCGTGCAGTCATACGCAGATATGCTGAATATACACACAGCATTACTGATACAATTTCTCGAGTAGAATAACAAATCGTCTTCTGTTTGAAGTTTGTTTGACTGAGTAGATAAACGGATGTGTATGGATGTGTGTGTACGTGTGTTGTGATGATTGCATCAATGCTCAAAGACAATGTAATGAATGGAAACTTTTGTTATATAGGTAGATTGACGTGCGTTGTACACACGACAGTTGTGATATTGTTTTGTTGTATTACGCTACTCACTTGTTCTGTTTCTCTTATCACTTCCTCTATTTGTGCTGTATCGATCATTTTAAGTAAATGTTCTATAATTATTTTTACACTCCACCACATACTCACATATGTTTTCCAATGACGAAATAGTGTATTGACAGATGATGAGTGGAAACATGAGATAACAAACACTCCTTTCTTCCTTTCTGTCACATTTGTTAATAATAATTACCCCACTCCTCACTGTTCTGCAATCGATTTGCATCATTGTTTATCCTTACTAACTTTGTTAAAGCTGATTGTTGCTAGGTCGACTTTTTGAATAATTGATGAGTATAGTGAATGTTAACATTCAATGTAACAATGTTAATTTTTTACCTAAGTAATCAACAAATTCCTACTCATCTGGTTATTTCTTTTTAAAGTACTCTTGAATTTCAAAGCTTCTGATAACCAAATAATTACGCAAGTTAGAATAATGGAACAGAATTTTTTTGTTCTGTTTGAAGATTCGTTGACTGGATTTGTCGCTTATCTTAACGGTTCTACATCACAGTTCTGTTTTGTTTCTGTAATCTTCTTTTAGTTGTACTGATTATGTAAGTTTTTAGTGATTCTATGCAACTATGCCAATCTAAGTAGTTGAGGGAACTGTTCGAAATTGGAACGTTTAGTACTCTAACTAATACGTCACATTGCCCAGTATATTTGTTTCTACAGGTTAACCGATACTCATATTTTTATAGTTGGAGTACAGTTATCGTATCACATACTAAAGTCACCAATCAGAATTTTGATTATTATTTTCTGTATTCTGTAACCTAATATCCTAGACCTGACGAATTATACGTCTGTTTTTCCCAGTTAGCCTGAAACGAATACAACCTAAGCTTCTATTGGTCTACTATCCACGTGTTTCCCTCTTTCCTCTACTTCAATTCCAATGAAAAGTAATTAGCCCATCTCTTTTAATCTGAATTCAATCATAACTCAAAGCTAATACAATGATATAGCGTAAAATCTTGACCATACGTCAACATAATCCTGAAATTGCAGTAATGGCATAACTATGTCACATGTAGAGAAGAACAACCTTTAAGCGACGCTAAACTAACATTGAGAGTGTCCACCTGATAACTAGAACCAAATGAAGGTTATAAACCAGTTTGAGAAATTGGAACTATAATTTACAGTTAATAGTTAAGGTTAGGAATTAGATTTAGGATTTTCATCACGAATCGACATCAGCTTTGATGTTGAAATAATATGTAGCCAAATGGATGAATGAATTTCATACCAAAATCCAAGTCCTATTATCTTATACCTGATTGATTTCGTCCATAAATTATACATCTCTTCAACTGCGTAATAGGTTCGTATTATGTTAACAGTAACTTAAAAAAAATATAGACGAAACAACAAAAAAATTTATTCATTAACAAAAAGCTTACACATAGGAGAATACAATAATCTATTTAGCAATCAAAGAATAAGATTGTGAATACTAAACTTCAGGTATGATAATTCCAAAAGTTCAACTTTAACAATACTCATCCTTGTATAATACATCATGATTTCTTTTCTTAATGTTTCTTTTTCTAGCTTTTTTAACACATGGTCGACTTCAACGAATTCGAACTGCATGTGAGTTTTTTTTTTTAACCAATTTTCTTTTGTTAAATATATTTCTCTTGTCCTTGTATTAATAGTTTTATGATGATTGATTTGTGTTACCTATTCAGTCAGTCAGTCAGTAACAATGTAGAATTTCGTACGTACGTACATCAGTTCGAGTTGCCACACCACATTAGCACAGAGATGGAGTTGTCGATTCAAATCCCGTAGTGGTAGAGGTAGTAAGAGTATAAGCAGTAATCGGAAACATTAGGGTTTGAAGATATTATCCAAGGAGTATAATCTAGTGAAATAAATTTGGAAAGAGAAAAAAGAGACAAGGAGGAATTAGGAGATTAGAATTTGGGAGAACACAAAGAATGGATGCACCTGCGCACACCATTGCAAACGATTTTCAGCTATGTGATTCAGGGTCTCTAACCATCGGTTGCTATCATCTCGCGGTCCCCAACCAGGTAGTCTACACCTACCAACATGACTCAGTTCACTTGTCAATGACTTCATGGACTTGTGCCATGGTTTGTTCTGGCCGCCCCTAGTTTTCTTCCAGCCTACTCCTATACCATTAAGCATCGTACGTCGAGGCAGTCGGTGGTTGGGTATATGTAACACTTGTCCCAATCATCTTAATTGATGAAGTTTCATTACTTCATCAATTAATTTACCATCCTTACATAGCATCCGTATCCTAACAACTGTGTTACTTACTCGATGGTCCCAGGATATACGAGCAATGTTTCGAAGACACCTATGATCGAATACTAGTAACCTACGAATATCCTCTACTCTTACCGGCCATGTTTCACTGCCATAAAGTAGGATGGGACGAACTGTTGCGCAGTAAACACGTCCTTTGGTTGATAGACGGATATCTCGCCTACGCCATAAATTACGCAAGTTACCATTGAGAAGTATGTATTCCAGGTGCAACGGATCTTCTGTGAAACTAAGATTTACACACTAAAGGATTGTGGATTATTAATTATTGTGGTCTCACTTTCTTCATTTTCGCTTCTTTCTCCCCCTTTCTCTCTCTGTGCCTCGTTTTTGGTGGCCCATTAAACTGACTTTCATACGATGAACGTATAATGAATATGCTATGAACATAAATCTTGCATCTTATTCCGTATACTACATAGGCTAATCCTGTTTATGTGATGGCGGTAATAAGAAGCCAAATACGGGTTGTATTGAATGAATTTGTTCGAAGTCTTTGTTCATCCAGACAGACATTAAAGATGAAAAATCGGGAAAACCAAATAAAGCAGTGAAAGCAAACAAATCAACTCGTTTTGATAAAACGTAACTCAATATTTATAGTCAGACCAAAGTAATCTAAAGACACATGATGAATTACTTACGTCTATTACTCCCAATGGAAATAGGCCGCCGACCATCATTCTCCAATCCACTCTGTCTTGGGCATTCCTTACCAGTTCTGTCCAACTTTTATTCATTTTTCTCATGTCTGTCTCCATTTCTCGGTGTAATGCGTTCTTTGGTCTTCCTCTTTTCCTTTGACCTTGAGGATTCTATATAAGGGCTTGCATTGTGACACAGTTTGGTGTTTTCCTCAATGTGTTTACTATCCACTTCGAGCACTTCTTCCTCCACTGTAATCTGATTTGTTCTCTCCCACAATAGGTTGTTTCTGATAGTATCTAGCCAACGGATCTGAAGTATTTTACGTAGACAGTTGTTAATTAACACTTGTGTCTTCTGTATGATGGCTTTCATAGTTCTCCAGGTTTCCGCCCCATACAGTAGAACTTTTTTGACACAAGTACTATATAAGCTATATATGTATATATACTCACACTCAAACAAAACAATCAGGCTTAATAAAATGAATAATTGACAGTGTTAAAAAGGTACTCAATATGTTTAAATAAATTGATCTGTCCGGAATCTGGAATAACCCATTTAGATTTGATATAATACTACTGTGGTGTGAGCTACTTATATTCATATAAGTAGTATATAACGTGCGTTAAAAGAACGTAATGTCCGGCAGCAGAAGATGGCGAAGATCAAGAAAGGAAGAGCAAGAGCACAATGGAATTGTAAGAAAACGCATGTGCAATGGAATGGGAGACAATGGATTAGTGTTTGCAACGGGAACAGTACAGTTTGATATGATGGAATGATATTTTGCAAATTGACGATTGACTTTATGGTATTCACATTTATTGAGATAGTCTGTAATTTTTGTGCTAAATACAATCGATTGTCCCCACCCGTGTTCTTGTTCACTACACTACTACTAGACATTACATTTACATAAAAATACACTTTGTACTAATCTTCATTATTCATCTTATGATTTATGAATAATAATTGTAATATTACAAAACTATGAAACAAAAATGCAGTTGTGAAAGTACTACAATCTATAATGAAAATTTTGTTACTTCAACTTCCTTGTGTTTCTTCTACACTTATCAGTGTGTTTTTCTCTCTCTCTCTTTCATTGTTTTAATGCATTGTGTGTGTGTATGTATGTATCCATGTGTCTCCCCCCCTCTGTTCTCGTTTTACTAAACGTCTTATCTCTTGTATTAGAGTCAAATCGAAAGGAAGTGATTTCAATGTTATGTTTCTTTTTTTTCGTATAAAGAAGCGACAACATGATGTGTGTGTGTGTTTGTTTCTAAGAGTGAAATCGAAGGTGTTGTTTAAAAACATTAAAAAAAAGAAGTTGAAGGGTTTTTAAGAGGAACAGTAATGACAAACATAACTAGTAATGAGTACCGAAGGAATAAGTGGAACGGAACAAACAGGATATGGTTGTATTTTTATTTTTATTTTGTAAAGGAAAAATTATTCTATTATTGTCCCACTTGTCTGACTGTAAACCTGTCATCTACTCAATTTATTACACTTAACATATCTCATATATAATTTTCCCAAATATCAGAGTATAGGCAGTTTGAAGTAAATCGAGAAGAAATGCTTGACTTACCTTTCGTGCTAGTTGATATTATTTTTAACAAGACATACTTATGATCATAACGAAATTGATGCTTCCGTTTTCGGTTCGAACACATATCATCCAACTTCATAGATCAATAAGTTACTCATGAATTAATCAATTCTCGATTGATCTACTGTAGAATTTAGATATTTATATTGATCGATCACTAAATGATTAACAATATTGTGTTTGAGATAGTGGAGAAGATTTGTTGCTCAGGTGGATGATTTTAAAAGTCGAACACTTCATTTCTACTTGAAGTTTGTGATGATGATGTCGTTCAGAAGAATAATGAAAGCTCCATAACCAAATCATTTAGCTCAGAGAACAAAACTCCAAAATCTTGTGTTTGTTTAGTCTTTAGTGTTATATGACCACTAATGTAAAGTATAGGAGTAGGTTGAAAGAAAGCTATGGATATCAGTTCATGAATTGATAGTCTATTTGTTTGACCTATTTAGAGAGATCCAAACTACCTGGTTGGAGTTCATGAGGGTATCGTGACCAATGGTTGAAAGATTTTGCTTGATATGGCTCTTAAGTAAATAACTATCACCTTAAATCTCAACACAGTTGCATACGATGTCGAATCACTTAGATTAGTGGCTACATTGCAACTTGATCGATAGAATTCGAATTGCACTAAGAAGGACCTGGCTTACATAACATTGGTCACTAGCCAGTGAACATCAACTCTGGGGTATAAGTGCATTCAAATAACAAGTCACAAAATAAAGCGAAACACATATCCTGGATTTCACTCCTACCCGCCATCCATCTCTGTTTAAAAATTATACGTATTTTCAGATGAATAATGAATGACACTCGTCAACAAGGTGTACGTGTAATCTTGAGCGAATTGGTGCTCTCTGACAGAATCGATACCGTGTCAGAGATGTCACCCCCAAGCAGTCGGGACTGCAATCGACTTCCTTTGGGTTAGAGATTTATTTTTATAATTTTATCTGCTTGTTATCAGAAGGGGTTTTGTGGGAATTTTTTTAGAAATTTCAATAGTTGAAACCATGAGTCAATTGAAGCTAGACCACTATGGATTGTGTTTATGTAGTGGGGAAACCTGAATCAATACACATTTGTGCTAGATTCAATGTTGCTTATAACTGACTGATTGATGATAACAATAGATTACGATTAAAAACAACTGAAATTAATTTCAATCAATATTTTGTGCAAACTAACTACAACTACACTTACTTACACCTGTTACTCCTCGTGAAGGAGCATAGGCCACTCACTGGCATTCTCCATCCAACTCTGTCCTGGGCAATTCTTTCCAGCTCTTTCCAGTTGTTACTCATCCTTTTCATATCTGATTCTATTCCCCGACCTAATGTATTATTTGGCTTTCCTCTTTTCAATTCTCTCCAGGATTCCACGTTAGGGCTTGCCTCGTGATGCAGTTTGATGATTTGCGTAATGTGTGTCTTATCCATTTCCATCGTCTTATCTTAATTTCCTCGTCATCTGGAAGTTGGTTTGTCCTCTCCCACAAAAGGCTGTTACTGATGGTATCCGGCCTATGGATGTTGAGTATCTTGCGTAGACAACTATTTATAAATACTTGTACCTTCTTAATGATGGTTATTGTAGTGTGGAGATTTTAGTAAATTTTAATAGTCGAATTCATGAGTCAATGAATCTAGACCACAATCAAAACCTGGAAGCACTAGATGGCGGTTTCGTCCTATTGTGGGACTCCTCAGCACTGCACATTCACAATCCCGCCTCTTGAGATTCGAACTCAGGGTTTATGGTCTCGCGCAGGAGTGCTTAACCAGTGAGCCGGTGGGAATCCAACTGTGTTAAGTCTAACTTTATATGCTCACTAGCGAAGGTCTCCGAGAGGTATTTCCTAGAGTTCTAGTGAGAAACCGTGGCCAGTAGAGTTCAACCGGGGCTCTTGTGAGATAGTAACTCACTGATGACAATGGTGGATTGTGGCGCAACTTCGTGGATTAGTTAAAGTTAGGCTTAAATCCTTTTTTAAATAATTTGATTAATGAATTCTCGGGGGAATTTTGATGAGCCTAATACAGTGTTTAGTGAACATTTATTTATCATTACCAGATTTGACTATTGAAATGAGTAATGGTTGATGAAACTAGTTATGATATTCTGAAGTAGATAGATAACCTAGACATTATTTCAATTTGTCAACTTTTTTTCCAGTATTGTGTATTTATAATATTGTGTTTTTTTTCAGTAAAAGTTTTTAGAACATCAAATGTTTCCCATGATTCTTCTAATATCACTAAAGATAATTCCAGTAAGAAAGGTGTTGTGCATACTGATCATTCAATGGTTGACTTCAAACGACCTGTTATGCTTCCAGTTGTGTCTAGACGATTAGAGAATTTCAAACGACCAACAACAATACAACAACAAAATCATTTAAATCGAACATCTACCTTGAAACCGATTAATCAAAATGCTGAATATAGTTTACGACGTCCATCTGTGTTTGAAGGTATTTTAAAATCGGCTGCTGAAGCTGCTCAACACTGGAATCATCATAATAATAATTGTAATAATGATCATACATCAAGTGTTAAATTGTCATCAGAATCTAATGAAGAACAAGTTAATATGATAATCCTAACGTCAGTAAACCTCTTAACGCTTGTTCTTCTTCTACGACAACGACAGAATCAACATCAACAATAACTGATCCCCATAAACGCTTAGTACAACGCTTAGATTCGATGATTTCATTAAGACGTGAACAGAATGCATTATCCAATCTTTCAAATAGTAATCATTCTAATGAAATAGGATCATCATTTGATTTGTCTATTTCATCAGATAATAATGATTACTTTTCCACTATTAATTATCGAAAAGCAAATACATTGGATCGTCGATTTCCTCATTCTATGGGGAGTCATGTAAGTGTCTTATTTTTTTTTCCTATCGTTTCATATAGTTATAAATCCCTTTTTTTTAGAGAAAAAGGGTGTCATCTATATTGATTGAATTATAGGTAAAATGCAGAGTCTTCTGGTAGCACTAAGCAACAATACCCGAATGTTTGGAATGCGCTTCTCTCCCTCTAAATGCAAGTTGTTGCTTCAGGACTGGTCTGCGTCAACACCTAAACTAAGGATAGGGAGTGAAGTATTCGAACTCGTTGACAACTTCACTTATCTTGTAAGTCTGATCAGCCCTAATGGGTTGGTTTCTGACGAAATCTCAGCACGGATTCGAAAAGCTCGTTTGGCTTTTGCCAACTTACGTCACCTATGGCTTAGGCGAGAAATCCGTCTATCAATAAAAGACGAGTATACTGCACGGCAGTCCGTTCTGTTTTAATTTACGGCAGCGAAACGTGGCCATTAAGAGTTGAAGGTTCTCGTATGCTACTAGTATTTGATCACAGATGTCTTAGAAATATTGCTGGCGTCTGCTGGGATCACCTGGTAAGCAATAGTGAGGTTAAACGCAGGGTATTAGGTAATGATGGTAAATCAGTTGATGAGGTTGTGAATCTTCATCGACTGAGATGGTTGAGCCACGTGTTACGTATGCCTGAACACCGATTACCACGACGTGCAATGCTAAGCGGTGTTGGAGATGGTTGGAAGAAAGTAAGGGGCGGCCAAACCAAAACGTGGCATCAGTCCACAAAGTCACTAACTTCTAGTCTTAACAATGTTGGTAGATGCAGACTACTTGGTTGGTATCCGCGTGACTATCGTAACCAATGGTTGGAGACTTCTGGTGACATGGCTCAAAATCGATCGATCACAATGGAGTCGGTGTATACACTCTCTGTCTTCCCTTAAACTAAGAGATTAAAATCACTTCATATCTTTCTTTCTACGAACTAATTCCTTCTTCCTATACTATATCCTTGTATGCAATCTTTTATATATTACCACCTCTGCATTAACTACTTTTATTAATTCGGTGTTCATCTTGTTGTGTTAATGTGGTATGGCAACTTGTACCGATGCATATATGTGCCTGATCCTACATTGTAGCTGACTGGCTGACCGAGGTATCGAAAGAAAACATTGTATATGCCTATACTTCAATGCTTAAATTCTCAGATGTAAATCTATCAGTGATAGTAGTCGGTGGGTACCTGGTTTGCTGTTTAGACTTTAAATCTTAATGAATAAACAATCCAACTATCTGAGTAGATAGAACTGAAGAAATAATAAGGCACAATAATCATATGGCAACACTATTTTTAACAATAAAACTAAGCAATACATTTTGTAGTTATAATTAACTGTAATTTATGAACGGTAGAAGATTTCAACTAGAGCTAATGAGTTGAAAGAAAGAGAGCTAACAGTTTTTATTATATAAACTGTTTGTTTAATGAATAAAGCGTCTGTTAGTTAGTGTTAGGCAACGTACAATTTTGTTCATATTTGTATCAGTTCAAGTCCCGACACCACATCAACTAAGCGAGATAAAATTACCAGGACAGATACCAAAGTACTAGCGGTAGTAGTAATCAGTATCAGTGGTAATAGAGAACAATAGGCATAAACAATTTTTTGTTTTCAAGAAGAAATGAATTTCAAAAATCGATATCTAAGGTAAGACAGAACGAATGCATCTATCCCATGTTGATCGATTCCAAGCCGTATCAACCAATTACTTTAACCAATGGTTAAAGTAATTGTTCGGTTCGTAATCAACTATTTGGGATCTATCATCTTCACGAGTCAGAGCAATAGTTTATGTCTTCGTGGATGTCACATTTTTGATTTGGCTGCTCCTAGCTTTTTTTTTTAAAAAGCCTACTCCACTGTGAAAATACACAAATGGATTCAACGTAAAATAGTTTTCTAGATTTCATGCTTGTCTTTTCATCTTTTGTTCTTTAACAGTCACCAGTTGGTTCTAATACAATTGAATGTTAGACAGTGAAAATCTCATGGGATTAAATCATCTGTCTTGAAAATGATATTTCATTGTACACTACAAATTATAATAGTCAGTGACACGTGGTTTATGTATATGTCTCAGAGTAACATATTCTCGTTTATTTAGTATAGTGAATGGAAATAAGCATCTTATCTCATTTCTGCTGATTTTATTTATTTGAACCCATAAATCAGTCGGTCAGCTACAACGTAGGACCAGGCACATAGAACACATAAATATTGCTACAAAGAAGCTTACTTACTTACGCCTGTTACTCCTAATGGAGCATAGGCCTCCGACCAACATTCTTCAATCCCCTCTATCCTGGGTCTTCCTTTCTAGTTCTATCCAATTTTTGTTCATTCTCATGTCTGTCTCCATTTTTTCGGTGTATTGTGTTCTTTGGTCTTTCTCTCCTCCTTCAGCTTTGAGGATTTCACGTGAGGGCTTGTCTTGTGACGCAGTTGGGTGTTTTCCTCAATATATATCCTATCCTTTCACAGCACTTCTTCCTGATTTCTTCCTCCTCTAGGATCTGGTTTGTTCTCTCCCACAGTAGGTTGTTTCTGTTAGTATCTGATCAACGGACCCGAAGTGTTTTGCATGGACAGTTGTTAATAAACACTTGTGTCTTCTGGATGATGGCTTTCGTAGTTCTCCAGGTTTCCGCCCCATACAGTAGAACTGTCTTGGTATTTGTATTAAAAATCCTGACCTTGGTGTTGGTTGACAGACAATTGTTTTGAGTTCCAGATGTTCTACAGTTGTAGATATGCTGTTCTTGCTTTGCTGATCTGCGCATTTACATCTGCATCAGATCCACCGTGTTCATCAATGGTGCTGCCCAAATATGTAAAGGTTTTTACATCTTCCAAATCTTCCCCGTCAAGTGTGATTCGATTGTTGCATGTTGTGTTGTATTGTATTCGAGAATCTTCCTTTTCCCTTTGTGTATGTTGTGACCTACTGCTGCTATTGATCAATTTATGATATGTCTATTAGTAGGTTAAATTACACGACATCCCTTGTATTATATTGAGATGTTAATTAGTCTCAAGTATTTAGCATATCCTTAGGAACATATTATTAGTTCTAGTTACCATGTTTCAGTAATTAGCATGAAAATGTAATCAACAAGGTTTTTGACTTATTGGTTTCGAATTTATACATACCTATATATGCCTCGGTTTGATTTGATATGAACAAGTGAATTAGTGAGAAGATGGAATAGAGGCATAAAAAGTCAGTCATAAGATGGTGGTTGGAGATAGTCAACAGGAAACCCTAGACCCGGGTTTCGTGCTACTCGGCACTCGTCATCAAGGTTTACCTGTAATCTTGAGGAAACTTATACCCCCGTGTCTCCCAGCTTACAGTCAGAGGCGTTACCACTGGGATATCCGTTCCGCAACTGACGTCCTGTAGGACTGAGATGTATTCACAATTGATTGATCACTGAGTGGTGATCAATGTAGTGTGTGTCAAGTCCTTCTTAGTGCAGATCAAATACTATCGACCATGTTGCAATATGGCCACTAGTCTAGATGACTCGACATTGCACTAAGAAGGAATTGACACGCATGACATTGATCACCACCCAGTGATCAATCAATTGTGAAAAAGTCAGTTATGCTAAGATTTTCAGCAATAATAATAATACTAATAATCAAAACTAGTTTAAAGCTTCAACAATTTCTGGTTGAAGTAAAGAGTACATCAGAAGTTTTCAGTTTACGAAGTATGTTTTTTTTGTTGTTGTTACTTTAATCAGTAGTTGAAACGTTTACTATAAAAATCAAGAGTACACACAACTGTTTATGATGTTTTAAAAAAAAAGAGAGAGAGAGATAGAAATAGACATTTACAATTTTGTAGATTATGTAGCCAGAGGTAATATTAGTTGATTGTGTGTAATAAATAGGAGGGGGGGTAGGTAGGTGAGGGGGAATGGAAATGAAGATCTATTATTATTATTGAATGTATAAATTAAATTATATATGAGAAGTTAATAGTAGCTAACTTGAATTGTCATTTGTTCAATAAAAATATGCAAAGTAATTTTACTAATGCTGTTGGTAATATACAACATGTCAAACTATAAAAATATTGAATATTGAAAGCTGCTTATTGAATTGACAGATTAAAACAAAATCTTTTTTTTATTCACTGATTACTGTGGTTAATACTGAAATGATTTTCAACTTTTCGTTTTGATAAAAGTTTATTTGCAGTATAGGAGTTGTGGAGATTATTAAGTCTTTGATTGAGATCATGAACTGACTGATGATGTTAGACCACCGTTGAAAACCCGGATGCACTGGACGGCCGTTTCGTTCCGTTGTGGGACTCCTCAGCAGTGTGCATCCACGATTCCGTTCGCGGGATTCGAACCCATGACCTTCAGTCTCGGTTGGTGAGGTTATAAAGCTTTATGGACTGAAGTGTTTAGAATATTTGTTATGTATGTCCAACCACCATCTAATCTCTTGATGTGGAAAGTTTGCTGATGTAGGAGTAGGTTAGAAGAAAGCTAAAATAAGACACGATATCAGGCTATCAAGTCATTAACTGTTGATCTGTACTATGTTGGTAGATCCAGACTAGGGTAACTGCAATCAGTGGTTGAGGATATTCGATGATATGATTTAGAATTGTTCACAATGGCGTAACCACTTTCATTCTGTATCTTCCTCTAGATCTTGTTTTCCAGTACTCCTTCATACATACCTTTCCAATCTGTTCTTACAAACTATATTCCATATCAGCTTTTAGAGATTGTGGAGATTGTTAAGTTTTTGATTGAGATCATGAACTGATTGATGTTAGACCACCGTTGAAAACCTGGAGGCACTGTTCGGCCGTTTCGTTTTGTTGTCGGACTCCTTAGCAATGCGCATCCACGATCCCGCTCGTGGGATTCGAACCCATGACCTTCAGTCTCGCGCGCGAATGCTTAACCTACTGGACCACTGAGCCGGCCGGTATCCAATGGTGTTAATGTCTAACCTTAAGCAATCCACGAAATTGCGCGACCATCTTCCATTGTACTGAGGTAGATACTTGTCTCTACCCGACACGGATTAGCTCCACTGGTCACAGCTTCTCACTAGAACTCCGAGAATTTTTCATGAAGCTAGTCACTAGTGAACACATGGTAATTATCCGTTCTAAATGTTCAATTTGTTCTTAATATCATTGATACTACACAATTTGAATCTCATTGTGGCAATGTAATATATATATCGACGGAGTTACATTTCGATAATAATCAATTGTTTACTTTCATATATTTAAATCAAGTTATTTCTACTGTACTCTATTTAGAATTTGAAACAATCATCTCAATCTACAGATCCATATACTTTGAAATTATTATTATCATTATTACCTTCAATACCACCATCTACATTATCTGTATCTTCATCATCATTATCATCATTAGGTTTAAAAAATATAAATGGTATAGATGATAATAAATTAAAAAAACTTACATCATTATCATCATTTCATAAACATTTAAACAAAAAATTACATCGTTCTTTATCGAGTTCTTCAACGGTTACATCATTCAAGACAACAACAACAACAATCCATAGTAAACATCATTCATATCATAATACTAATAATAATAATAATGATACATTGCATGAATTTCATTCATTACCTCATCGACATCATTCATCTAATATGGAAACTGATAAACAAATCATAAATGATTATCATCATAAATCAATTTCAACTACTGCTTTATTAGCTGAAACTGATGTATGTCAATTAATCACTTCAAAAGTTAATCATATAATTAAACGTAAAGCTTCTAGTGTTAGTCAACATTGAAATATATAATACAAGTAAAATAATCCTCATGATGATGATGATGGTGATGAGCATCATTATCACCATGGGGATTATTGATTTTCCTTTTTTTTAGAAAATATACAGATCATATTGTCGTACATATTTATTTCGTTTTTTTTAATTATTTGATCATAGTAATACTATGAATTGAATATATTCCATTCCGTACCGTCCCCTCCCTACCCCCCTCTCTCCCTCCCTCCCTGCTTCCTACCTTCCCTCTCTCTCTCTTTCTCTATCTTTTCATTCTATCTATGTTCGATGAATTGTCTACATTTAACCTCTTGTCATGATTTAATCTTATCCGGATCCTTTTATTTTTTTGAATTTGTTACAAAGTTTGTCTAATTTCTTTTTATTTATTTTCCTCTTTGATTTTTTTTCTCTCTCTTGATGTTGATTCCATTGTTGTGCCAATAATTCATTGTATGAAACTTGAGATCTATTTCCTGTTATATTGTTATACAACAGTTACTGTTATTATTATTAATGTTACTATTACAACTGATAAAACGAATTGCAATAAGGTGAATTAATACGTTTTTTTTCTATTGAGCGATTCTTTTCGTTGCTATCATAAGTCGTAGGTATAAGTATGTAGCGGTGGAAATATAGTAGGAAAAATGAAAATCTTATGATTATGTCTCAATTACTTATTGGCTTTCGTCAACTTACGTCACCAACTATGGTGAAGGTGAGATATTCGTCTTTTAATTAAGGAACGAGTATACTGTGCAGCAGATCGTTCTATTCTACTTTACGGCGACGAAATGTGGCCATTAAGTGTAGAAGATACTCGTAAGTTACTAGTTTTTGACCACAGATGTCTTAGAAATATTGCTCGGATCTGATGGGATCACCGGGTACGTAATAGTGGGGTTAGACGTATGGTATTAGGGAATGATGATAAATCAGTTGATGAGGTTGTAAATCTTCCTTGACTGATATGGTTGGACTACGTGTTACGTATGCCTGAACACTGGTTACCACGGCGCGCAATGCTGACTAGTGTTGGGGATGGTTGGGAGGAAATTAGTGGCGGTCAGTCCTTGAAGCCACTAACTTTAGTTTTAGTCATGTTGGTAGATGCAAACCACTTGGTTGGGGTCCACGGGACCAATCGATCACACTGGCGTCGGTGTATACCCTCTTTGTCTCCCTTAAACAGTGGGACTAAAATTACCTTTCTTTCTACGAACTAATTCTTTCTTCCTGTATCATATCCTTATATGGAATGTTTTTTCTTATTGCCATTAAATTAACTGCCTCTATGAATTTAGTGTTCATATTGCTGTGCTAATGACGTGTGGCAATTTGGACTGATGCATAGATGTGCCTGGTTCTACGTTGTAGACAACTGACTATCATTACTTACTATAGTTATTTTAATCGTGCTATTTTATGATTAAAAGATATTGTTCACACATATTCATTTAGTTGATAAGAATGACATTCTACTCCAGTAATCTTATTCCGAGTAGTTTTGTGATATAGGATAATCTTCACTATTAGTGTGGTGTATGCTACTTATGTCGACAACATTATTAGCATGTAACATCATCTTAAAGTGGAATACCTGGTAGCAGAAGGTTGAGCAGATCGAATCAAAGAGAGGAATTGTAATATAAATCAAGGAACGATAATGTTTGAGGCAATTAGAGAATTTGCAAATGAAGTATTTAATAAGCAAAGATGGATAGTGGCTAGCAGTGGAGACGACGACGCGCGTTTTCGTCTATTTGAGACTGGTTAGCTGGATGTACCTGCATCCGGAGTTGATGTTCACTCCGAGACTCGAACCCAGTACTGTCCGCTTCAAACATTATCACGTTATCCATTCAGCTACTGAGTCGTGATAGCCATCTGCTTGTGCAATCGGGTGAAGTTTAAATTCACGTGGTGTTGTTTTACTTGTATCTTCCCATTGTTATTTAGACTGTAAATGATCAATCTCATGTTGGATATGTGCATCTGTGAGGATTGCCTCGAAATAACCTTAAGTCACAAGCATTTTAAGGAAAGATGAATAGTGGAATCCAAGAAGCGCGTACTGGGTTCGTGTCCCAGGTGAACATCAACTCTGAGATGCAGGTACATATCGTTGACGAGTCCTAAATAGGATGAAACGCGCGTCAAACTGGATTCCACCTGCTAACCACTATCGATCTTTGCTTATAATACTTGTAAATTAAGACAGTATCGAGGTAATCTGCACAGGATGCATATATGCCAACATGAGACTGATCAATTACAGTCGTAAATAACAACTGGAAGATACAACTAAAACAACATCAAGTAAATCCGAAGTATTTAATGTTTAGTTTTCACATTTTGACCAAAGAGCTATGTAATCAGCTTTGTTTATTGACCAATATTTTCTGTCTTTCGTACAGATACAAAGCATTAAATGATTTAGATGATTAAAAAAAATATGTGGAACTATCATTTCTATCTGTTTCATTTAGTTTTGAATTTGTAATCAATTGGGAGACAAAAAAATGGAGCCGATAGAGTTACCATGGTGACTAGGATAATCAATAAATCATACCATCGCTAATGTGGATTACTTTTTTTAAAAGAAAGGCGTTATTACAATGAGAAATATACATAATTTTTGGTAAAAGAATTCTGATTCCCAATAATTCTATATACATTCTCATCATTATGATGTATGAGGCAGACGAATATATGTATGTACTGATCTTATAGTTACCAAGTCAACAATATTCGATTTTTTATTTATTTTAACACAGATATTGGTACAAGGAGGCACCAAATACATATGCGCCACACAAATCTCATCTGATATGTGTGAGGGCTGTGATACTGCCCGTGTGCCCAAATTGAAGCAGGTGGTTTGCTTAGGGGGCCACACCGGAAGTCTTCGACCTGAAGGTCTGATCCACAACGCAGTGGAGCATCGTAAGGAGATGCAGTCCCATGGTAGCCGGTGACCAACAATTGGTTCATACGCCATTTGTTCCCACAGGATACTGGAGCCCATGTGCACCATTGCTTTGAAATCCGGTTAAAGCGTTGGACATTAACTTTTCGTCCTCTCATGTTCGTAAACATCAACCCTGCCACGAGAAGGCAGTGAGTAGGACTATATACGCGTGGCCATGTGAGAGCATTTGGAGAGGGAGAGCGGACTCTCCCTACTCTTGGCCGTACCAGGGCATTTGGGGGCAATATTCGATTTAATTCTCATGGTATACTAAATGATGTTTTATTCAAGCTCATAATCATACACTAGTTAATTACTGAGTAACAAATAATATTGGGTTTGTATAATCATTTAATACTGAATAGATTCTATTGTTCCAATTCAAATGTATTATTCATTTGAAGTGAATCAACATCTGATAGACTATGTTTTCATTTTAGATGACCAAGGATAATCGCGAGCAATAATCAAACCTAGTTTTTTGTGGTTGTTAGCACAGTTTTGTAATGCGAAGTCGTAATCTTATGTCTCGACATGTTGAGTCACCTAGACTAGTGGCCACATTGCAACTTGGTCGATAAGATTCGATTTGTACTAATAAGGACCTGATATAAATGACATTGATCATCATCCAGTGATCAATCAATTGTTAATACATCTCAGTCGTACAGGAGGTATGTCTCGGACTGACAATCTCAATGGTAATATCTCTGATTGTGAAGCTGGATGGCACGGGATCGAATCCGTCAGGGAGTATCAGTTCCCTCAAGATTACAGGTACACTTTACTGACAAGTAGCATGGAACCTTGGCCCAAGGTTTCCTGTTGATTACCTCTAACCACCAGCAGCAACAGCCTTCTCTGGGAGAGAACAAACCAACTTCCAGCTGAAGAGAAAATTGGGAAAAGACGATGGAAATAAATAGAACATACATTATGAAAGTCATCAAACTGCATCACGAAGGTAGCTCTAACTTGGAATCCTGAAGGAAGCGGAAAAAAGGAAGGCCAAAGAACACATTACGTCAGGAAATAGAAACAGATATGAAAAGGGTGAATGACGACTGGAAGAGCTGGAAAGGAGTGCCCAGGACATGGTTGGATGGAGAATGCTCGTGAGCGGCCTATGCTCCTTCACGAGGAGTAACAGGCGTAAGTAAGTACCATCTTGCAAAATAAACTGTCTAGATTTCTCTTGTCAAGAAAGAAAGAAACAGTTTGCAAAAATAAATCATTTACAAAGTAAATTCTTTTTCTTCAGAATGTTTTATAATTGACAATTATTCATTCGTCGATAATCTAATTATATTATTTCCATGTATTCGAATAGTGTAGACCAGTATAGACGGTTTGTTGTCATGGCATAAAGAACTTATGATAATACATCTTTGGGAGGGGGTGGGAATAATTGATAAGTTATTATACATAATTATAACAATGATAATGATTAATTATTTGTTTTTCTTTAGGAGAATATAAAAGTATTTCTTAATCTGATTGAATTTCTTTTCTACTAATTAATTCTATTTATTTGAACATATGGATATTGGAACAAAGAGGCCCCGAATATACATACGTCACACAAGTCACTTAAACTGTCGGTGCCCAAACCGTAGCAGGGGTTTTGTTAGGGGTCACATACGAAGATTTTGATCTAAAGGTCTGATCTACAAGAAAGTGGAGCAATGTCAGGAGATGTAGTATCATAGTGGACGGTGACTAATAATTGGCTCATACACCATTTGTTCCTTCAGGAATCAGGGTTTTTCAACTTTCTTAAGTGAACTCTCTATGTCCACCAACCCGGTTGAAGTGCCGAACATTCACTTATCATCCTCTCAATTTCATAAATAACAGTGATGTCGCGAGAAGGTAGTGAGTAGGACTTCCTGACAGTGACTGTATACGCGTGGCCATGTGATAAGATTTTGAGAGGGAGTATAGGCCGCTCACCAGCACTCTCCATCCAACCCTGTCCTGAGCATTCCTTTCCAGCTCTTCCCAGTCGTCATTCACCCTTTTCATATCTGTT